AACATGCAGTAAAATAAATTTGTGAAAGGCTCGATGACATTTCAAACACGACACATCTATTGAAATCTACATTTTATTTGCTCGATTTGCACAATATCTTTAACGACGATGAGAACGAAAGATTTGATTAAATAAAGTCCGCTTATTTGACAAACACCCTCATCGTTCGTCAATAACTAGAATTTCGAGAATATCGATAGAAAATAAATGCAGTTTGCAGTAAAGCTTTTCGAGTGAAGGGATTTACGACAATAAAATCAACGGATCTACGGAGGATAGATCGGTTTCAAGATATTTTCTTCTTTGGGAATCGTGGTATCCAAACAGTCGTCTTTTCAATTAAAGATAACCATAGTGACCAAATCCGTGACCATAACCATAGTGGGGGTAGCCTAAAGGGAAGAGCAGATTAGGATCACAGGGTAACGTCGATGAATATTTTGTTTATTGTACGTCATTTGATTCGTGTGCAACGTCGATGAATATTTTGTCCGTTTCATCATGGTTCGTTATTCAAGAAGACTTAAAAAATGATTACGTTAGATAATTTTTACATAATTAAATAATTGGATAATTAGAAAATTTTCAGAAATTGAAAATATAAAGTTCCATTTGAAACATACAAAAAATTCATTGACGTTGAAAGCACTTTGTTCGCGTTCCAAGTTTTGTCTCACATGCATCGTGTGTTTCTTACCATAATGTCCGTAACCGTGTCCATATCCGTAGAAAGGATACTTATAGCTATAAACGTAAGGATAAAAGCCGCCGTAGTAGCCACCGAAATATCCTGGTTTCGCAGAGACGATGCCAACAATGACAGCCAGCAGCAGGACTGTGTACTAAAAGAAAAAAAAGGAACAGGTACCATCCTCAAAATGTGTGGTAAATGTCACGACACTTCTGACTATATATATATATCGATCGATTCTACGAATTTTCTAACAAATTCCTTTGTACGCTCGTATATCTTTTTCGCCCACCTTCTTTTAAATTTACGATGTTGTCCAAGAATAATATCTTAAGAATTATTAAAAATTTCCAATTAATATACACGAGTACTGAGAAATGATGTTTTTCTATTAAATATTATTTGCAGCAGGTATTACAAAAGGAAAGATGAATATTTAAAAAAAAAAAAAAAATTAAAACGTGTCATTTCGGAGCTGCTGAAATATGTTATTACGAAAGTAAATAAAAAATGAAATACCTAAATGAAGATATATGAAATGATAAGGGATGAAAGTTAACTTCTTTACGACGTATATCATTGATCAACTGCATCTTTGAAAATTTCACAGTTTCGATACTAGAATGTACCATTGGTATATAAAGATTTTACAGTTCATTACTTTCAATGGAGTTGAAGATCGATTGAACTTCCGAACTGGCTCTCTCCGAATCGTTTCTTTACTTACAAGTTTCAAGCAAGCCATTCTCCGTCAGCTGACACTGCCGTTAACTCCTCGAGGAATTGCACTAATTTTTCCGATCTGTCAGTAGTGTCCCACTGTTCGTCCAACGATCGTTGCCGTTTCTTTTATAACAAAGGCGTGTTCCGCCACAGCCCCCAACAGGCAATATTCCCAGCCTTCGTATTGGCTTTCCTCTGTTAACACTAATAGCAAAGGCCAGCATTGTTACTCTGAGATTATGCGAATGCAACGCGTCATTATGAAAGAGAGACGATGCAGCAACGTTTGGTTTCGGGATGGTCAGCCGTGTGCACGCCCTGTGAACGATGCCTTGACATCCAAATTTGCCGAAGAATCCATTGCTTTTCATCTGAGAAACCCTCCATTATATTTCCCAATGTCTCAATGTGCGCGCCACACATGGAAAAAGACAATGCGTTGCCGGGGAAAACTGCTGTTGTGACATTTGCATTGTGAATTCCGCGGGATCTCTTTGAATTCGTTTGTACGTGGCGAGGATGACAGCTTTCGTTGATATTCCAGACGTTTCTGTTGCTCGGAGAACCGAGCGAGTTCATTTTCAGAGACTGATTCAAGAACAATGTAACGCGAATAGTAATTCACCCGACTGAACTAAAATTATGAAGCTGTCTATCTTGGACTTGCGTTTCCCTTGTCGAATTTCACGGTCTGTCGTCTGACTTCGCGATACCACTTAGTTGACACTAGTGTATCAAATTTGAATAATTTAATTAAAATCGTAAGATTTGCGAGATGTGAAACTAAATAAATTAAAATGGAAGATATGAAAGACCAAGTTTCATTCATATCGTCCAAAAATTTGAAATCTCGAGATACCATCGTCGCAGATCTAGAAATTTATCGTAAATTTATAGTTCTAGTGTTGAGAAGTAAAACAGGTCGGAATAATTGCGTCGATGTACGAATCGATGATTACGATACGCCGTTGGATAATTTAATTACCATTCGAGTAAGGACAATGCGTGCACGAGTGCAGACGTGCGACGAAAGGAGATGTAAATAGCCAGGTATATATCGTGATCGAGACAGAAAGAAGAAAAGTTATGAGTTGCATAACAGGAGCGTGGAAGAGAGGGGAACGCGTTACAAAATGGTGAAATTACACGGCACGGGACGCGGGACGAAATCGAGAAGAAGAAGAAGAAGAAGAAGAAGAAGAAGAAAAAAATGATCGTTGCGACACACGTGGAACCGAGGATGAGTCCTGTCATTAATTGCAGTTAACGCGCGATGCTCGTAAGCCTCATTGAGCATAACGTTGCTCAACTGAATCTTTCGATGAATCAAAAATACTCTACTATTAGCGTGAATGTGTATTAATCTCTTCGTAGTAATCTTTCTTCTCTTTGCCTTCAAAGTTACTAAGAGGGAATCGTCAGAACAAAAATTTTACAAGGAATTGGTGAGGCCTGCGGTAATCAATAAATTCGAATGTATATTACACCGCGATGATTCGAGAAAAGAGACGCGAGATGGTCTTCCACAACAAGGATCGCGCGATCGACATACACGCCACGAGTAATTATTTCGTTTCGCTGCGAAAGAATTGCGTGACTTTATGACCAAGGTAATTACCTGCTGCATTTCTTTCCGTCGAGCGTCTCGTTTATCGTGCGAAATTATTGCACACGTATCAAACGCATCGCGTATCCCAATATTGTTCTGTTATTTGACTTATCAATTGAATTACGTAACTTTGAATCAGCAAGTTTGACACGAACGAATATACAAAGTGCTGACTCGCGACCGTAACAGTTGATCGAGCGAAAAATAATCGGCCGCGTTTCATCTGCGTATGTAAAATCAGTTTCGTTGCAACGTGATTCGTATCTATATTCTCAACAGTATGGTTGCTAATTTGCATAATAATCATGCCCCGCCTTAATCGTCAGCGTCGATAACATTCAGAAACGTTTCTAATTCCGTCAGTTACGTGATCCTTTTTTTCCTTGTTTTCACACTGAATATCAACCCCAGAATCTACGATCGGCAATATCGCGAAGGACTTTCCGTGTGTTACGTATCGTTGTACTCACCTTGAATCAGAGGCGGTAAATCGATTTTATTGCGTTGTTCTCAAAGGACGGTTAATTAGTATTCGATCGATACTTCGACCACGACGAACAGTAAATTTGCTTGATCCTCTAAATATCGTCGAACTTTTCATTTCACTTATGTTTATACAAATTTTTACAAAGAATTTTTCTTGAAAGTGAACTTTTATTTTTACTCAGTTATTTCTCGAAATATTTGATTTGAGCTATTGTATGTTAAATTATAGACTTCAATAGGTATTTATGAATTTACTCAAATTTTTTAAAGAATAGAAACAATAAAAAAATTAATCATTTAGTCAAATAATCCAGATCCAGAAGTGCGAAAAAATACGGTTGTCCGCGGAGAGTTGATATTTATTTATATCAGATATTTTAATGGGTATTTTCAATCTAAATAAAAATTAATTTATTCGATTTATTTACAATTTAAATTTTTGTCATCAGAACATGTCAATTTTGTCTTAGACTCTCGATTATTAAATTGAGAACGTTTATACAAATTTTATACGAATGTGATCAATAGAAATTTTTAATAAAAAGAAATGTACTAAATTTAAACTACTAACTGTGCTACGATTTAAATACTACGTTTCATTCTACACGTTCCTGCATCTATGAATCTTTCATAATTACGTAAATATCTACAGCGATTGATTGATTGGTAGATCACATTCATGTATGTAAAGTGTCTTAACGAAGGTCACGAAAATTATTAGACCGTAATAGTTGGCATGCGTGATGGGCACGGCGTGATTGCAGAATAAGGCCAACTAGAGCTATGGGAACTTTTTTGTATATCATAACCATGGGAACGTTTTGTTGATCAATGCCAAGTTGCGGCAGGTGTCATCGAATAAGTCGACAAATGAGTCGTTCGTTAAGTCGTCGTGACCTTTTGTCGAAACTCGGTTTAAATAAAAATAAATTTCTCCGTCGTCGGAGGCAAACAGACAATTAAATTCCCATCGCGAATTTTCTACCGTCACTTTCAACAGAGTTTGTTTCGATCATTGAAATAAATTTAATTCCTCAATTTTCATTCAATGAAAGGAGAAAGATACTCGAATGAGCATTTTTGCAGCAACGCATTGAAATTTCACTTTCCTTTATCGAAGGTAACCCTAATACTTTCATTGTAAAAAGTCGCGGTAGAATGGTAGAACAATTATCTATCGATCTTCTATTCTTTTCAAATTGTATTTTCGAAAATATAGTTTAACCATTTTCAGCCTTCGGACATTTAATGCTGTTTTATTCAGCTTTATCATCAATTTATTTTTAACCGATGAACTTAGTAAGTAACACTATAGAGACATGACAGGTAACATAATACTTGATGAAAATAAAATAATTACATCAGCAGTGCGACTGAAATAATTCAGTCAGCGAAGTGTATGCGTCAGCAGTGTGTATTGAATTGAGAGAACGTATGCGTCAGCGGTAGCGAAAATGATAAGGAAATTACCAGGGAAGAAGAAAAGTGTTCGTAATTCTTTGATCAATCATCGATATATCGTCAAGTTCTTACATTAAATACCTAGATATTAACACATTACAATAATCAGACCGCAAATTTTTATGCACTTTTTGCGAATTTTCAAATGTAAAAGAATACATCATCGTTGCAATTTTCAACAGACAAAACAAATCTCTTTTTATTCTCCATTTCTTCAATCAAATCCATAAAGATATACGTGTCCATAGAAATCTGCAGTCTAATAATAATCATAAATTACAATCAAGATAATTCATTGAACACTTGATCACCCTTTCTTCCTTTGCTAACATACTCGGGAGAGAAACGTTCCTTATATCCACTCAGGGCTAAAGACCGAATCGCTTCCAGTTTACTCTCAGACAACATTTCAGCCTCGCTGTTAGATGCTGGCCCAGCCTCTGAATTTTCATTTCCATTCTTCTCCGTGTGTCCAGGTTTCTCCCCCATCACAGGTCGATTATTATGGGGGTAATAACCACCGAAGGGATGCCAGTGAGCGAACGGGTAATGATGGTAGAAATTCAAGTAAGGAACAGGTTTGAGTCCTGGGAACAGAAGATTGTGGAAACCGTGACCGAAACGATAAGGTAACCCGTGAAACGGTGCCAGAGGATACGGATGGAAATTAAAACCGTGATAAGGACCATAGTAAGGGAAACCACCGTAATAAGGATATCCACCGTGTGGAACATGATTCCCAGTAGAATTACCATCAGTATGCCCGTTTTCCGGTGATGCCAATTGTTCAGAATTTCCATGATTTTCGGGCGCATGATTCTCCACCGGTCTTTTCGGTCCGTAGAAATACGGATAATACGGGTTATAAGGAACATAAGGGCCGTGGAACTTTGGACCGTGAAAGAATGGTCCATGGTGGTAACCGTATGGACCGAACGCGCCATTTGTCCCATTATGATCCCCGTGATTTCCGTTTCCGTGATTGTTGAAAGACTCGTTGAAAGGACGAGGATAGAATCCAGGGAATCCAGGATAGAAACCATCGTAATACGGATGCCTATAGTGAAAACGAGGGCCATAATCGTATCCTGCCAACGCGGTCTGACCTTGACTCTGATCGTCGATCAGTCTGGATGGATTGCTCTCAGCTTGTACGTTAGTGGGATTCGTGGGCTGACTCTCACCTTCGACGGATCTGTCGTGAGGATAAAATCCTACATGATCATGAAACGGGTAATAAAGTGCGTTAAAGGGAGCATGATAGTTTAGGTGAAACGGCCTACGAGTTATTCTAGCCACCTGAGCGTTCTCGTTCTCGTCGATCGGGTTGAGCGTTTCTGCTGACGAAGAAGATTGAAGAGATGTTTGAGGCGACAGACGACGATAATTTGACTGAAGATCGAGTCGGGGATAGTGATTTGAATTTGGCAGTTGGTGCGTACGTTCAGGCTTGTACCCGAATCCAGGTGGTTGATGATACTGATTGGAATAGTGAAGAGAGGCTGTCTTGACGTCCGCGTCGATAGAATTGTCCTTGGTACCACTTTGGTTGACGTTCTCTGGTGCCTCTACGTTTAGTTGGTCGTAAGAAATTCGTGAGTCGCGATTCAGCGCGAACTCGTACGGTTTGTACGCTTCCGAGTTGTAATATTTGGAGTATTGAGGCGCGTTTGTTACGAAAGTGTCTTGAAACACTGCTTGTTTCCCCTCGTTCGACGAAGATTCGCGTGTGTAACGGGGGTAGCGATTGAAAGAAGCATTCGACGAGTTCCTCGAACTCTCTGATGGAGCGTGGTCGACGTCTAAGGAGAATTGTGTTTCCTGGATTCTCTTCAGAAGGTTAGTGGATGATTGGTTCGATGGTGGATCCTGATAATCGTTCAACAAGGTTGTCGACAAGACCGACGCGATGTTCCTGGCGAAAGACGTCAGCACCTCGGGGCCTATTTCGCAAACAGAGTGATTTCGACGAATAGAGTTTCGAAGAATTTGGACTTCAAATCGATTTAAATTGAAAATGAATCTTTTTGCTGCTAACACTTTGTTAATTGAATCGATTTATATTTCAGTCAAGTAAATTTGATTTTGGAATTATTTAATTTAAATTCATATCCTATAAATAATAATTGATGTCATTGATGATCTTCTAAAATATAGAACGCAAATGCACAAATGTTATGAAGAAATTAAATTATAAGTCAATGTTATTCGAAATCTTACGTGTAACTTCACGATCTTCTTAACTTTCGCCATTTGCATTCTCACACATTCATCGTGGTTTTTAGGCTTTGAAGAAATATTTTCGTTACTGGGTTCCCCGATTTGATATTACAACATATTCGAAGCAAGTTTGAATCAAGACAAGTTCCGGAGAGTATGTTGATGTTACATCGTACGAATGTAAAGCTAAAAGTCACTATAGATAGCCAGAGGCTATTCAAGAGTAGAGACTATTCAATATAAACATGGCTTATATAAATGTAACTAGAAAAAATTTCAAAGTTCAAACTGAGCGCAATAAGGAAATCGCGAGTGTGATCGAAAGCTAGGAATAAAAAAATTTGCTCGGGGCAAAATTTGTCTTTCAGTTGTGAATCAAACAATTTATTAATAAACTACTTCAGCGTGATTGTATCCTTGAAAAGCAGAAGCAAGCAAATTCGATATTTAAATGGATCTTTAAAAGAAACAGAAAAATTTACGATTAAAAATAAAATTTAATTGAATTACCATGACAGTTGCGAAATGCTCTTTCTACTCTGTCAACAGGGATCCTATTAATGTTCATGGACTCATGTGGGTCGTGAGCATCACTCATGAAGACTAAGTGACATGCGTGATATTGGATGTCAATTACACTTTCTCCTTTCGAATACTTCTGCCTTCGTTCAGTTCTTACAAGATTGGCTAATTTTGCATCACGAAGATTAAAGTACGTTTAATTCGTTCATTTAAATTTCTTCATTGCCCGTAATAAGTCATGAAAGAATGTAACACGATTACTCACGAAACAGTTTCGCTTCTTTCCTTAAGTATGAACGAAACAACTTTGAAAGGCAATTTAAAAAATCAATAAATGTCAAATGTGTTTAAGAATCATGCACTAATATCGAAACGATGTCGCAAGGTCAGTGAATTTAATATCAGATACTTTTGGAATCAGATATTGTTGAACCTAAATTTTGGTTATTTGGTATTCTAAATACCTAATCTTAGCTTGCTACTATTAATTCGAAATAATTAAACTACAAGTTTAATTAAATATGTTAATATAAACTACAAATTTATATTAAATATGTTAATATAAATTTTATGTTAAATATATCAATATTTAATAATTCCAAGTTTGTTTGACATGAAGTAATTCTAAATGCCAATGTACTTAACATTCAATAATTCCAAACATCATACCACGAGAATATCAAACAATTCCAAATGCCGTATGCATATAATAAAAGAAAACTGATCGCATTCAATTCGCAGAATTTCCCTTTCTAAAAATAATCATCATTGTTTTAAAATCAGTTCAAGGATGTGCATAGTGATCGTTAAAAGCGTTTCCCAGAACGGAATAACAATCGACTTACTAAGACCGTTTTTCGCCGCGTTCACGTCGACCCGAAGAATCCACAGACCGACGAACACCACCGTTGTCTGCAACAAAATAAAAGTAAAAAAATAGATAAAAGGAAAAGCATAGGATCTCCTTCTTCTATTTTTGAGCCAGGAAAAATCCGGGCCTCCCTTTGAACTGCGTAACACAGAGCGAGTAATGAGAGGCTCACGGTAGCGCGTCCGACAATTTTCTGCAACATGATGTTTTATTTGTCATTATGCAATGGGAGAAGCACACATGCTCAAACCGAAAGATCAACGCACCGTTTCGTATGTGACACACTTGGTCTTCACGTGGTGGATCCGCCGATTGTGAAAATTTCGCGAGAAAGCAATCGCGAAGACGGAAGAGCACCTATGCGTTTCGAAATGCTTCGATCGAGGCATTCGCCTCGCTTCAATTTTGTCCTCCAATTGAATTTTTCCCACAATTGTAACATGGTCCAATTGAATTTGAGATTCTTGGTTGTTTAGATTCGAGTTTAAATGAAAAATATCGAATTAAATTTCGACAGCGATTTCAACGACTTTGAATTCAGAATTTTAATAAAAATTTCGAAACTACATTCCTTATATTAAATTATCAATATTCAACAATATTCAATATTTGGAATCTTTGCAGATTTAAGTTCGAATAAAAATATCGAATTAAATTTGATAATTATAACTTATATTTTTCATCGTGAATTATCATATTTGTCAAATTTATTCATTTTCGTTATATATGATTCGTAACAAGTAATTATCGAAGTATGGCAGGTACTTGTGTCCCCGGCAGAATTTACACATTCCTTCAATAGGAAGTCATCAATGTCTCTCATTTATTTCTTATGGAACCTGTTATCCGCGAGACTATGGCGCTTGACGAATCAATCGATCGTGGCGAACTTATCGCTTCCTGAAATATCTGGAATTCCGACTACAAAACTGAATGAACACGATGATCGAGAAAACCGTCGTCCACGGTTACGTAACATTGAAATTGCATTGTGAAATATGCGGCACGCATGAAAGAAATCAGGGAAAATAGATTGCAATTATTGTATCATTCGTCGCATATAAGGAAATAACTTCGGTCAATTGTTACTTATTACCGGCGATTTTTTTTTTTTTTTCAGAAAATCGTCATATCGTCATAATTGTACAATTGCACATCCGTATAGTAATGCGTAGATGCGTAGATTTAGAAATCCTTGCTTTTCGAAAACATTCTCTCTTTAGACTGTCAATGACAAATAGCAAACGAATTTAATTCCAATCAGATAATAAATAATAATTAATAAATATAATATAACTAATATGTAAGATCATGACTGATATATAATATCATCAACGATTGATCGTTATTACAAAGAGATATCTACAGAAAAAATGTCACGTGAAATCACGCGACATCAATCTATTCGGCACGTGTCAATTGATTGGGAACAAATAAATCATGTAGAAAGCAAGTAAAGACTCGCATTCTCGCTTCATTCATGGTTTATTCATTCACGAGGCTAATTTCTACAAGTGGCGTGTACGGCGATCGCAATAAAACGCACGTGGTCACTTGCGATTTACACGTAAGTAAACGTAGTCCCCGTGAATGGTCACTATCGCGATCTAAAGTTGCGCCCGAGGAACACTATGAAATTTCTAACGAAGCTGACACGCGACAGCCTCTTCATTCAACAATAGCGACCGATCAATAAACGATCCGACCATTGATCAACGCGCACGAGAAAAGAGATACAAATCTACGTTCGTTAATTAAACACACGCGTTCGTTTCCCTAATTAAACGTCTGGGAAACATAACGCGATAGAACATCTTGTGTCGACAATTAATATTTTCCTTTATTTTTCTCTTCTCTTTCTTTAATCAACGACGAAGATTTCATTCTTTCAGATAGATATTCGTTTTTACAATTAATTGCACGAACACCATGCAAGTGGAACGCTTTCTCAGAACAACGAGACACACGTTAATACTGTCTCATATTGTTCTGCTCGGATCGTAATTAGCGGTATTACACAACGTTTTAATCCTTTCTTCTCACAAGGACGTGCACTTGCTAATATATAAGTGCGAATCCGACGGATCGTAGAACGGTTCATTAAAATAAAATTTGTCTGACACGTGTAAGTCTTCGTACAACATCTGTTCGCGAGTAGCAGTAAATCTTCTCGCGGTTGCGCAACTATTACGATTTTCTTGCCACGATTACGATCAATTTCCATTCTACGTGATTAACCCGCGTTCGCGTGTCCGAGCATTCTTTTTCGTATAATTTTCGATCGAGAAGTTTCACTGGCCGAGTTCCTGATTTATTATTTCTTTATTATTTCCCGTGTCGCGAGTTACGACACGCGGCGATTAATTTTTAATCGTTATTAATGATTTACGAGCGAGGCACCGGCGCGATATTTCTTCGTATCAAACAGGCACGGTAGAACAATCCGATAAGGATAAGCCGCGTTACGTAAGGGACAATTGGCTGAATTCGTGTCGTTAGAGGCAAACGGAACGAAAATTAATTTTCTCGATTCACGTGTGTGCAAGAAAGTAGCCCCGTTACCGCATCGATGTAGGACGAATATCATCTTCGCAGTTGCGAAACTGTCGGTTCTCTTTTGCTCTTTTTTTTTTTTTTTCTTTTTCTCTTCTCTCTGTCAACGTGGATCGTATTAGCGTCCGTATATACTCACGTGTAGAAGGTAATGCATCGTGCGTGCAGCTCGTGACGACTAACAGGCATACACCGTGCCCGATGTCATTTATACTTTCTCTCCATAAACGCTTTTGCCCTAATTCAATTGATATAAGACCGGCCAATTTTGAATATTTCATGCGTGAACGAAATTACGTGCAATTTCTCTCGTCGAATCTCTGACAAACTAACGCAGTCGAGCGATGTCGATCGATTTTTGTGAGTTTCGTACGAGAAAGTCGTACAATTGATAGATAATTCTTTGTTTTAACAATTCGCAGAATATAAGTTCTGTTTATCTGTTATTTAAATTTTAATCGCACGATCGAGAAAGAACTACTTTAATTTAATAATTCGGAATGAAATTACAGTACGCGCTGCGGAAATACTGGGATTCACTTGGTAGAAAGCTGTCGATCACATCCGGATTATAACTTGTCACATTTCTATTCGTTTTCGTTTGCTACACTACATGATTGAGCAAACGTAATTGAAGAGATTTACGTATTTGTGTATGTGTTTGCACGAGACAAATTGCTCAAGATAAGCAAAAATATTTTAGACTGTTTGAAAGACGATGTTTAGCCGGTAATTTTTCATTTTGTCAAATAAAGCATCTCAATTTCCTGTCTCTCCCCTTTCATATTCATTTTCAACAATATCCTCAAAATTTGCTTCATATGATAATCCAACGACAACGGGAAAAAAGAAGAAAGCATGAAATTGCTCGAATTCATGCGAATATGTTAATTACATGTAATTGTATGCGACAACAGATATAGTGGAATTCGTGGTGAATACGATGAAATTGTTAGAAGAAAGTCGATGGAGATTTTGTACCTTTTATTGTTAACTTTTGTAACTAAGCTTAGTATCCTATGTAATTGATAGAGCCAAGAACACCAGAGTCTTTGTAAATTTGTACAGATTGTGAGTGCGTGTCAACTAATCTCGTGGCCCTGAAATTTGGATTAACAGCCAATGGCACTTCGTTCGTAAATTGATTTAATTGTCGAGCCTGATTGGAATTAAATTGCTGTCTCGTGAATCCTGGATATTTTGCTACCATTCCAGTTACGCTTCCGTAGGGAATGCCACCTAAAATAAAATAATAATAGTTGATATATATATTCGTAATAACAATTGGCAAACAATCATCGTGACTCTAACAATTGAATTGAATTCGAATTAAAAAAAAGAAATTGGACGAGTAGTTCAATTAACGAACCTTCATTGTATATAACCAGATATTATATATTGTATATACAATAAGTACAATAAAAATAATTAATAATATATCAATAGTAAACATCGTAATTCTGACAATTAAATTGAGTTTAGTGTTAAAAAAGAAATTGGGCGAGAAGTTTAATTATACATACAGTAAATATATATATATATATATATATATATATATATATATATATATATA